TATTATCAAAAATCTGCAGATATAGAACATGCTGATGGAGTATATAACCTTGGACGTTGTTATGAAAATGGAATAGGTGTTGAAAAAGACATAAAGAAGGCATTCGAACATTATCAAAAATCTGCAGATATGAGACATACTGATGGAATATATAATCTTGGACGTTGTTACGAAAATGGCTTAGGAATTGAAAAAGACATAAAGAAGGCGTTCGAACATTATCAAAAATCCGCAGATATGAGACATATCTATGGAATCTTCAATGTTGGACGTTGTTATGAAAACGCAATAGGAGTTGAAAAGGATATAAACAAGGCATTCAAATATTATCAAAAATCTGCAGATATGAGACATGCCGATGGAATATATAATCTTGGGCGCTGTTATGAAAATGGAATAGGTGTTAAAAAATACATAAAGAAAGCATTCGTATATTATCAAAAATCTGGAGATATAGGACATGCAGATGGAATATATAACCTTGGACGTTGTTATGAAAATGGTATAGAAGTTGAAAAAGATATAAAGAGGGCATTCATACATTATCAAAAATCTGCAGATATGGGACACGCTGATGGCATATATAATCTTGGACGTTGTTATCAATACGGAATAGGAGTTAAAAAAGATATAAAGAAAGCATTCGAATATTATCAAAAATCAGCAGATGTGGGACATATAGATGGAATATATAATCTTGGATGTTGTTATGAAAATGGAATAGGAGTTGAAAAAGATACAAAGAAAGCATTCGAATATTATCAAAAATCAGCGGATATGAGACATGCTGATGGAATATATAATCTTGGACGTTGTTATCAATACGGAATGGGAGTTTAAAAAGAAATAAAGAAGGCATTCGAATATTATAAAAAATCAGCAGATATGAGACATGCAGATGGAATATATAGTCTTGGACGTTGTTATCAATACATAATAGGAGTTGAAAAAGGTATAAAGAAAGCATTCAAAAATTATCTAAAATCTGCAGATATGGGACACGTAGACGGAATATTTAATGTTGGACGTTGTTATGAAAATGGAATAGGAGGTGAAAAAGATATAAAGAAGGCATTCGGATATTATCAAAAATCTGCAGATATGGGACATGCTGATGGAATATATAATCTTGGACGTTGTTTTCAATACGGAATAAGTGTTGAAAAGGATGAACATAAGGCATTTATTTATTATCAAAAATCTGCCGATATGGGTAATGTCTCTGGAATAAATGAAGTTGGTTATTGTTATCAAAATGGAAATGGAGTAAAAAAAGATACAAATAAAGCGTTTAACTGGTACATGAAATCCGCAAAGATGGGTAATGCCACTGGAATACATAATGTATATTTATGTTACCTATTTGGAACTGGAGTAACTAAAGATTTACAATTAGCTAGTCATTGGTATCGAATGTAAGTAATGATTAAATAAACTTATAGTATGCTAATATTTGACACAAGTTAATAATCTATATAAATAGGGAACGAAACAAATTTCCTTTGGACAATATTGATGATGATTTAAAAGAGATATTAAATGATGAAAGAAATCATAAATTATTATCGATTCCATACAATGAATTCAAGAACATCAAGGAAATTGGCAAAGGCGGATTTTCAACAGTATATAGTGCTGAGTGGTCCCGCGGCTATCATGTAAAATTGAAAGTTGCTCTTAAATCGCTACATAAAACAAATTACAATGAATTTTTAAATGAGGTAATTTTAACATTATTATCCAAATTATTCATCAATTATTCGATAATATCTAATTGATTTAATTAGTTCAAAGCATATAGTAAAATCGGATACGAAAATTCTTCATTTCTTAAATGTTATGGGATAACACAACAAATGGATTCTAAAGAATATATCCTTGTCTTAAAATATGCATCAAAAGGTTCTTTACGAAATAATCTTCAAGATGTATCTCAGATGAAATGGGAACATAAATTATGGCTATTAAATGATATTATTTCTGACCTTGAAGCAATTCATTCTCAAGGGTATATTCATCGAGATTTGCACAGTGGAAACATTTTACAAGATGACTTACATAGCGCATATATTTCTGATCTGGGACTATCTTGTTCTGATTCTGAACAAAGGAAAGATGTGATTTTTGGAATTCTACCATATATTGCGCCAGAAATTCTAATAGGGCAACCATACACTATAAAATCAGATGTTTATTCATTTGGAATAATAATGTGGGAAGTCTTATATGGAATGTCTGTAACTTATAATCATCAATTTAGTAGACAGCAACTTCAATTAGAAATATGTTGTAATTATTTACGGCCATCTATTAACATTAAAGCTCCGCAATGTTATGTAAATCTAATGAAAAAATGTTGGGATAATGAACCTAAAAAACGACCATCTGCAGAAAAACTCTGTGAAATTTTTATGAAATGGCAAAATGACAAAAATATTTTATTAGAATTGAAAAAATCAGAAATAGCTCTGGAAAATGTCGAAAAATCATATGCAGACATGTTTAGTGGTGGAAGCAAGTTTATTTCATTTACAAAATCAATTTTAGGTATTAACAGTGGGTTACAAAATTTGAAAATCGATAACATTATTTCTGATAATAATTAAATTTATATTTTTATTAAGTTGCATATAAGGCTTTTATATTATTGATAGTTTCTTATTAAAAACTATAAAATTTTATAAACTCATCAATTAATCAGTTGGATTTTTTATATATTTAATTAAAGCACTATAAGTGCACCTTATATATTAAGGTAAATTCAAATAATAATAATAATAATTATTATTCTCGCTCGGATCATTTTATTTCGATGAAAAGACAACACGGGATAGTGCGCTATCGCAAAATTACATGCCAATAATGCCTCTATTTCCTCCACTAAACTCTAGTTAAAACAATCATTTAAAACTAACTCTGAAAGGCTAAATACCACCCTCTCCAACTTTAATTTCTATCGAAATTACCATTACGCTGAACTGCAATCGAATATGGTTTCTGGAAAGTTTAATTCGTTCAGTGGCTTCTTGAGGCACGTCACCAAGCAAGGTACCCAGGTCAGTGAGCGTGTCTTGACGATTTACTTAACAGATTCACATTTAATTACTATATATATATATATATATATATATATATATATATATTTTTTTTACCCTTTTGAGTCACAATCGTTCAACAATAATCATGGAACACGTCAATAACACGTCAATGAGCGGTCTGTTGTACGTCAATGAGCATGTTTCTCTCCATTCTCTTTTCTTTTCTTTTCTTTTTTTTTTTGGGGGGGGGGGGGTGGGAAAAAGCCAGACCAAAGTCGGGCAGCGAAGAAAAAAGCACTAAGAGCCCTACAATTACCCAATTGCCCTAATTTATATCCGTATGTTTCACATACGTCAAAATGTCGTCATAGACTCAAATGGGACCAGGGCTGATGATCCTCGCGATAATAACCTTAGCACGATTATCATCGTGCATCAGGTCATTATTCTCGCTCGGATCATTTTATTTCAATGAAAAGACAACACGGGACAATTCAGAGAATCGTGTTGTAACTTTTTCTCTTTTTTTTTTTGCTAGATTTAAAATGTCTCCAACGATCTATGTTTGTTTTGTTGTTTTTGTTTGTGTTTTTTGTTTTGCTTGCTTTTTTTTTTTTTTTTAAAACCCCATCTTCACTGTAGTATTTTGGGTTACTGTCGAAAAAGACCTGAGGTACAAAGATACCGATTGGGACAACCATCCCCCAATACTCATTATTTGGGGCAACGATAATCCTGCTTTCATAGCACTTGTAGCTCCACCAATTCGGATACTATGCCCAGAGTATTTTCCATCACAGCCTGCATGTTGGATAATCCTTTTCACTGCGCCAGTTGTCATCTGCTTGCCCGATGCATTCAGAAATAAGTGGTCCTGGTTCTTCAACTTTTTCATACCGTCTAAATACTCATAGACCAAACGTACCGGGCAATAGGGAGAATTTGTTGGGTCCACTGGGATGAACTTCCCTTCGCAAATTGGTCAGTTTTTGATCTGTTTATTCTAACCCAACAGATTCCTTTTACCATTTTTATATCATTCACACGTAGGTTACAAAGCTCAGCTGGCCTACGCATTGTGCGCAGACCCAATGCAATCATAGCACAGTCACGCTTCCATATAATTTCAGATGCATTGTGGGGTGGGTTATCCATATAGTTTCACAAGGCTTCTACAGGAAACGGGTCACGAGGCCAAACTGCTTTCTTATAGACCGCAATAAGCTTTCTTATATTTTTTATAAGGCGTTGAACATTATAGTCTATCGTTGGGTCCTCCAATCTGTTACTTCGATGATAGCGGCTGATTGCTGCTATGTACGAAAGTAAATTTGGGGACTGGGATGAGATTTTTGCCCAAGTTAAAAACATTGCAACAGTGTTCGGGTGGGCTGGATGTGTTCCTAATTTATAAATATTGCAAAAGTTCTCAAACTCCTTCCACAAACTCACAAGGCGTTTATCATACTTAGATTTCGATACTAGTAACTTTTGAGTCTCTTCTGCCAAGGCATTTAAAAATAAACTGCTACTGCCTGAAACTTCCAGTAAGGATTTTTCCATGGCTCTGGTATTTTGTTTACACCTGGTACTGGTAAAAAACATTCGATTGCTGGAGGAAGATCTATTACTTCCTTTCATATCTTGAGAAGAAGTGGCCACCAAGGGGCAGACACCCATACTGGTACAATGATAGTCATTTGAACTTGTGCCTCTATTCCTTGTTCGATTGCTCTGTGGATTAGACTTAGTGGGGGCATACATAATTGTTTTCGTTGCTCCATTTCTGGGTAAAGCAATCCACTATATCCGCTTCTGGGCAAAAAAAGCGGCTGTTGAAACGGAGTACTTTTCTCGTACGAACACTGGCCATCCGGTCTATAGTATATGGTCTCCATTTCATTTCTAAAGCCTGAAATAGATTCTGATTTACTGCCTAATCAGAGTCATCGAAAATGCGCGTTAGTTCGTCGGAATTCGTGAATATGTATATTGTGTGCATCGCAAAGGTTCCAAACCTCGCATATTAACTCTTTTTGCCAAGGTCGTTTTCCTTCTGATTCTATTGACTTTCGGGCTACTCGATTGTCTATGAATACTGTTATCCAATGATTTGCAACTATAGGTATAAATGCCTCTATACCCAGTAAAGCTGCCATTGACTTGAGCAAAGCAATGTCTGTATGCCTGTATTTTACCTCCCAATTCCCAAAAGGCTTTCCTTCCTTTTACAACTGCAGACCACCTCGTTGTCGAAGCATCGACGTATATTGGAACTATTCTGGATAGACGCTATGCTGGGTTTCCATTTTTCTTTTCTAGATTTACTACGACCCAGTTTATATCGCGAAATGCTTGTGGTGTTAACTGGACTGGAGCTTCCCATTCCCAGGGTTCTCTGTGTTCTGCGTCGATGATTGCATAAAATTCTAGACAATATGTCTTTGCATAAGGGAAGACACGACTTAAACTCATCAGTTTCCCAGCCATTGAAGCAAGAATTCGGGCTGTTATTGGTACTACCGTCAGGAGACTTTGGATCGAGTACAAAGTTTCCTTTATTTTCTTGTCGGGTGCTATTACATTCCTAGTTACTGTATCTAAAACTATTCCATAAAATTTCACTTGTTGCGTCGGTTCTGGGTGTCCCTTCTCTGCTAAAACAAAACCACTTTCTCTTAAATCTTCAAAAATTAAATGGTCCCTGATTTGTATTAAAGTCTCTTGACAAGGATGAGCTATCCATATGTCGTCTACATAGTTTCCGCAAATAACTCCCAATGACCTTCAATGTCCGATTAATACTCGCATTATTTTTGAAAATATCCAAACGGCTTGGCTTAGGCCGAAAAGTAAGACCTGAAAATGGTACCAACTTTTCCCTACTCGAAACCCTAACAATCGTTGTGTTTTGTTGTCCATTTGCACATGTGGTATTCCTCTTTTAAATCCAATACTATTATTCACCAATTTCGGCCCACTATGCGCAAAAAAACCTCGAGTCCTTCGAATTTGAAAGTCTTCTTTGGCAGAGTTTGATTTAGGCATCTGAGATCTATCACCAACCTCCACTGCTTGGGGCCCGGTTTCGGAACTAAGAAGATTGGACTCACTTCGAAGAGATAAAAAGGGCGAGTCAAAGAATCTGCAACGTGTACAATTACATTTGTCATTAGAAGTTTCTTTATTTCCAAGTCTAACCATATTTTTTGCTTTTGGGTCAATGGGTATTTTGGTGGATCGGGTTTTTTTATTAAAGCTAAGAGCCCTTTCGGATATAACAGAATTTTGTTCTTTAACCAATTTAGGATTAGATCGGGTGCTTGTAATTTGGTTTCCCAATAGTCCACATGCTTTTTCGTATGTAAACGACTCACTACTATTATTTTTTGTCGGCCTGAGTGTAGTCAATCGCGTTTTCCTTTATCTTGAGATTTTCTGAACCTGTTTCTATATGCCGTATACCCTTTTGATCTGTAGTTGAAGTTGTGCTCTTGCTGGTATCT